CACTTTATCGTGCATCAGCAGATGCATGACGAATAGGTCCAAGGAGGTGATACTTCCCCTCTATCGGGCGCTGGTCAGACCGCAGTTGGAGTACTGCGTGCAATTCTGGGCACCGCACTTGAAGAGGGATGCGGATAACCTGGAGAGGGTCCAGAGAAGGGCCACTCATATGGTTAAGGGCCTGCAGACCAAGCCCTATGAGGAGAGACTAGAGAAACTGGACCTTTTCAGCCTCCGCAAGAGAAGGTTGAGAGGCGACCTTGTGGCTGCCTATAAGTTCATCACGGGGGCACAGAAGGGAACTGGTGAGGGTTTATTCACCATGGTGCCCCCGGGGGTTACAAGAAATAATGGCCACAAGCTAGCAGAGAACAGATTTAGATTGGACATTAGGAAGAACTTCTTCACAGTTAGAGTGGCCAAGGTCTGGAACGGGCTCCCAAGGGAGGTGGTGCTCTCCCCTACCCTGGGGGTCTTCAAGAGGAGGTTAGATAAGCATCTAGATGGGGTCATCTAGACCCAGCACTCTGTCCTGCCTATGCAGGGGGTCGGACTCGATGATCTATTGAGGTCCTTTCCGACCCTAACATCTATGAATCTATGAACAGGAGGAGCTATCAGCTGAGCCACTTGCCTCCACAACTTCCTCTGAGGTGCCTTCCTGACAAGGAGACCTGGGTCTAGGGGAACTTTGAGGGGTGTGGAGCACAAACACAGATTCCCCCTTGGTCCCCAGAATTTCTTTAGCTAGGGTACTCAGGTCCACTGGTTCCATATCCAGCTCCTCCTCTGGCAGTAGGAGGCTCACGCTGGGAGATGAAATTGGGGTGAAGAAGACAGTCGTTCTGCTGCTGGTGCCTATTTGTCAAGTTAGGGAAGGTGGGGCAGGTGCAGGAACAGGTACTGCTCCCACTCCCTTACTTCCACTGGCAGCAGAAGACTCATCGCTGTGAGGAAAAAGGATGCATCTGTGTTTGGAGTACGGGGGAAACTGCGCTCTAGCTCTCCCACTACCTCCTCTAGCCCCTCTCTCTCCCCTGGCAGAAGGCCTAGCACCTGCCTTTCCAGCACACTTCATATTAATCTTTCCTGTGGTGGAAAATGTTTCTGTGTGTGTAACTAACTAAGAATATATGTCTCCTTCTTCTTCTCTGATATATGACTGTGTCTGACTTCTTCTTTTGTGTTGTGTTTACTATTGTGTGCATACCTAAAATAATATCTCTTCTTCTTCTCCTATGACTATCTGACTTCTGTGTTATGTTAATCTGAATCTCTATCTGACTTCTTCTGTGTTGCCTGTAGTCTGATTGTAACTATAACTAATAATAACTAATAATAGCACCTATACATAATTTGATCTCTTCTTCTTCTATGACTCTCTGACTTCTGTGTTGTGTTAATCTGAATCTCAATCTGACTTTTTCTTCTGTACTGTCTTTAGTCTGTATGTAACTATGAATGTCTGACTTCTTCTTTTATGATACATGTGTGTGCTCCCCTGCACAGTGATGGATCACTGCCAGGGAAAACCCAGCTTTCTTTTTAAAAAGCGTTGGGGGAAAAAAAAAGAACAAATATAAATTGAAATAAATGGATTGGATAGGGATAAGTAGAGGAATTCTAGTTAGTATGCTATATCCAATCCTTTCCAAGAACAGAAAGTAGCAGGAGACTGACTAGGTAGGAAGCCAAGCCAGTCCAGTACCTTTCAGACACTGTTGCTGAGGCAGAAACAGCTCACAAAAGGCACAGAAAGCCTAAAGACAGAGGCTTACATGCTGTTTCTACATCCCTCCCCCAGATCACTGTGATTGGAAGGGGACTCAGGGAAAGATCATGGTCACTGGTCAGCTACAGATGTCAGTCTTTCCATGTCTGCTCCCCCTGCCTCTTCTCAGTTTCTGTTCCCATGAAAGACTGCCTTCCAAATCTCTGAATCTTTTGTGAATCAATTTGGAACTCCAAATCAATTCGGAAGCTTTTTGTCTTCTCCCAATTTGATTTGGATTTGGTGATTTGGCCTCTGAATCTGCTCCAAATCAAATTGCAGACCAAAGATACTCACACCCTTGGTGGTTAGCCATGTTAATCTGAAGTGAGGCAGAAGGTAGGACAAGGTAGTACAAAGAGACATGAGTTTTCATAGGCAACAGTCTATTGACTGAAATAGTATGTTGGCTATGGAAGGTCATGCCTCTCTGAACCAGTTAGTCTTTAAGGTGCTACCTTGCCCTACCATCCTTCTAAAAACTTATAACAACACAATTTATGAGCTTAAAAGCTGTTAATTGTTCATATGCAATAATACTCAAGGAATACTTAGAGATTTGGGTTTTACTTTATTTTGGTGCTTTTTTCTGTGATCTATTTGTATTGCCCAATACTGCCCTGAACACGGGCAGGGGGAGTCTCACAATCCAGGTTATTATTAGTGGCAATGGTGGTGTTAATCATGACCAGAATGTATATATTGTATACATTTTCAGATTTAAAAAAAAACAACTTTAAATATATAGCAATTGAAAAAAAAAAGCTGTATTAAATACAACACTGTGGTTGAAAAACTAAGAGGGCAATAATCCTGAATTTCAATGTTATGGTTCCCAAAGCAACTGTAACTGAAACAAGATAAGGTCTTGTTGCTATAGGAATATGACTTTGAATAAATCATTCTCTTGTACCTATGTAGCATTTTATATCACTATAAGGTATACTGTGTTTTATTTATGCTGTATGCATATGTATTTGATGTGACTGACTTAATGTTGCTGAGGGAATCATAATTTGGTTGAAAAGTTTGATTTGTGTTTAAGTTCTCATCCCCAATGCTGCATTAATGTTTTTTGCATCACATTACTTTGTTCTTAAAAATATAGTGCATAATTGCTCATAAAATAAAAAAAAAACCCTGCAACTGATTTGAGTGTATATAGCACTCAAACGATAAATAGAGTAAATCCAGTAAAAAATAAAAATAACTCACCTGATTGCAAATTAATATAAATGCATGCAGTCATTTATTTCAATGTGTAATGGATGATTCAAATGTGATAGTGTGCATACACCTGATATTTTGCAAGGATACTTATTGAAAAGATTGCACTTTGAAACAAACAATAAATTTCACCCAAGGGTTAACCATTTCCAAAGCATTATAAGAGCCTGAAAAGAGAAGTTTAAAATAAGTATGCCTCCTGAGCCATCACCAGACCATGGTGCATGCTGAAAGAGTCCCTTTCTTTAAATACCTTGACTGTGCTCCTTCAAGAGTTGAGACAACCAAAGTATAGTTTTAATAGGGCAAGTAATATTAAAATCCTTGGAAATTCAATAAGATAGTTAATAGAAATTAGTGAAAAAGGCATAAATTTTAAATAAGAATTCACATGGAGCAGATATGCACAAGTCATTTGGAATAATCTACAGCAGGGGTTGTCAATTGGGGTACACATACTCCTGGGGGTACTTGAGAAAACCCTAGAGTGTATGCCTGGGTGGGAACAGAGTGCCACCATGCAACACCCTGCCCTGCCTCACAGGCATTGCCCACCTGGCTGGACACCGGGGGGGGGGGGGGGGAGGGAAAAGCCTGCACACGGTGGCTGCCGCCACTCTGTGTCCAGCAGTGTGCCACCTTGCCCCTCCCCCCCACACCCCAGCTCAGCATCTGGCTGTGCACCACACAAGTTGTATTATCAGGAATCTCTCAATTCAAGGATGACTTCTACCATGGCTCATTGATGAGCTTTCAGGTGACTAAAGTGTCCAATCCTTCAGCCACAGAATTTTCAGGTTTTTTTCACAGGGGAAAGTAGGCTGCAGACTGAGATTCCTGACTTTTTCCTTTCTCTGATTCAAGGACAAGATGCTTTACCTTGAAATGGGCTGCTTCCTGGTTGAGGCTGCAGTGCCATCGGGGTCAGGTTGGCAGCCAGCTGCTCCCAACTCTTGAAGGTTTTCTTCAGGTAATCGTTAAATGTGTCCTCAGGCCATCAAGCTGGGAGTAGAGCACTTGTTTGGAGAACTGAAAGTCTAGCATTGCCCGGGGAGGTGCTATAAGGCCTGGGCCCTCTTCAGCCTGGAATCCTTTTAGTCGGTGACATCAGGTTGTGAGGGAACATTTCTATCCTCTCCCCCAACCACCTGTTGATGTTAAATTCTCCCCCTTTTTTTTTTTTCTTATTTGTTCTTACCTACCATGACTTTGATCTTGTTCTAGGTAGGAAGCTGGTCCCACTGGGGTGAATAAGTCCAGGCTTACTGGAGAGAGATCTTCATGGGGCTCCACCTCCCCTACACCCTGCTCTTATCACATCCAGGATGTTCTTCAGCACTGTGCACTGGGATGCAGCCCCCTTCCCTTCAGGCTGCATGTGATGGTCTTCTCTGGGGGTGTCTGGCATCTATGTCAGACCCCTTTTTGTTGAGTTTTGGCTAAGCCACTCAGCAGGGCTATTGAAGTCTTTATCAGTAATTCAACTAGGTCTCCTGATGTCTCCTCCTAGTAGTGCCAAACACAATCCTCATCACTCATTGTGCATGTGTTCCTCCATCTATCAATTAATTTTAATAGTACCATCACTATCAAAACCAATTCAATAAACAAGTATTGTCATTGGAGTGAATTCCCTTCACACTCTATCTATTTCCTTGTTCAACAGTTCTGAAGGAAACCAAAACAATGAAGAATTAATTTAAATTCCCTCATGTACCTGATGTAGTTCCCCTCTACAGATTTACTTTAACAGTCCTGGAAATAATGAAATTAATTTGAACATGAATGAAATAAACACTCATGGTTAGCTCATGGCTGCAAGCTGTGTACTACTCACCTCCTCAAGCACTTACTTCATTCCACAGCTTCCACCTTCTCCAGGCGCACCACCCTCAATGGCTCCAGCAACAGTCACTGGCCAGGTTGGTGATTCTCTGATCACATTCACCGGTTGCCGTGCACCACCTCACCATGTTTGGCTGCAGGCAGGTGTCAGCAAGAGAGTCCTTTGGCATCTCCTCCGCTGGGATGCTGCAGTCTCTCCTCAGCTATCCCTCTCTGGAGCCAGAAATACTGTTCCAGGCTCAGCTGCTGGCAAGCCAGAGTGAGCACTGACTCCATAAGTGCAGAGTGGTGTTCTGGTCCCTGACAGCACTCCCTACTCTGCTTGGGGTAAGTTCCAGACAGGGGTCACCCTCATGCTTCCCTCTCTTCCCAGGGTCTTGCCTTCCACAGGCATCCACACACACTGTGCAGTCCAGCAAAGTTGGTGCTTGAAGATAACCAACTCAATGCTGAAAGTGTTGACTTGAGCAAGAATGCTGGCATTTGTGCAGTGATCTTCTCATCTGATGTGGAGGATTTTTCAGTATCATTAGTGATACCTCTCCAGGCTCTTGAGATGACAACAGGAGGTCACCCACATTTCACACCTGTGGAGGAGGGTGGGTACGATGACTGCACTATAGACATGGATCTTGGAGCCATTCTGGAGATCATGATGAATATAGCCATGCTGAAGCAATCACCCAAAGGAGGCATTTGCATACTAGACCTTGTGCTGGATCTCCTCATCAGTATTCATTCTTTGAGAGAAATGGCTACTGAGGTAGAGGAAATGCTCAATTACCTCCAGGGTCCTTCTCTCTATGGTAATCTTGGTAAGGGGTCATATTAATGGCCTACGGAAGGCTGATAGAGAACTTTTATGTTCTTGATGTTGAGAGAGAGGCCCAAAATTCAGTAGGCTTCTCTGAAAAGATCCAGCACAATCCAGAGGTTTTTTTCAGCGTACACTAGGATGGTAGTCTTTGGCCTTAGTGAGGTCAGTGAAAACCATATATAAATATGAACCTGAAGTCCTGAACCTTTTATTGGACCTTGCAGACACAAAAAGATCATGTCAATTGCCCAACAGGATGGTCTGAAACCACACTGATATTTCAGCAGGGCTTCCTCAGCAAGAGGTAGAAGAGGGTTCAGGCAGATGTAGGCAAGGATTTTTCCTGTGGTGGAAAGGAAGAAAATAGCTCCCACACACATACTTATCTAATTTCTTAAAGACAGTCATGATGTTGGTATTCCTCAGGTCCCCAGGGATCTCTTCACTGTTCTAAATTTGAAGAATAAATTCATGGAGTCTCAGTATTAGTTCCTTACCTCTAGCCTTGACATACCTCAGCAGGTATGTCATCCAGTCCAGTAGCTTTGTTGTTCTTGATTTCCTTGATGACATGCCAGACTTCTTGTAGGATAGGAGGGTTGGTGAGGGATCCCCTTTCAGAGGGTAGTGAGATGGACTTGATGGTGGTATCTGCCGAAGTTGATTCATGGTTCAGGAGTGCCACAAAGGGCTCTTTTCATCTAGCTTGGATAGGTTCATTGCTTTTGAGGAGCACTGAGCCATCCTGCAATCACAGGGAAATGAATGGGACCATGGGAAGTTTGGTTATAGATAGCTTCTGTTGTCTGGAAAAAGCTATGCATGCAGCTATGTATGCATGTCAACATAGGGCACATCTACACAAGATGCATTAATGCACATTAGCCTAACTGAATGCACATTATGGGCACACATCTACACATACACACCCTTAATGCACATTAAAAATGGTGAAATTAGGTTGATTGTGCCTAAATTTGACACCTGTAAATACAGGTATCAGATTTAGGTGTGATTAGTTAAAGCACATTAATGCACATGTAGACATGACCTGGCACTAAATTTAGTGCCTGGTCTGCCCAGCCACTAGGGGTACAAGGCAGGTGCACTTAATGCCAAGCCCCTGCATGAGTAGACACCTGCCAAATATCTTGTAATGAGCATTATATTTAGTTGTGCATAAATGCATGCTTAGACATTTGTTAATGCCCATAGAGTTGTACCTCCTTGCCACCATTGAATTTTGATATCCCAGATCTTCCTTTGAGCTTCAGTTTTGAGGAGCTGATATGCCACTTCCATCTGCCGAGATGAGCTATCATCTTGCCAAGCAGCATAAGTTCTTCTTGTTCAGTCATGGAGGGCTTGGATCTCAATATTGCTCACATCAAACCAGTCTTGGTTTCAATGAGCAGTATAGATGATGGATTCAGCACATTTTAAATCCCTTACAGAGTTTGTCAATATTGACTTGGTTTGTGAACAGGACATAGAGCTTTTCAGGGAGAGAGTCAGAGATCCTTACAGACCTCCAGGTCTTAAAGACATTTGGTGTTGAAAGTCCTTCACATTGCTTTTGCCTGGTTTCATTGTTTAGGAGCAAGCAGGATGTTTGTAATGGATCTAACAAGACAGTGATCTGTCCAGCAGTGATTCTTTCCTGGCATGGCTCATGTGATATGGACATCCATTCAAATCACAGGCTCTAACCCTAACATAGCCAAGGAGGTCTTGGTGGTTAGAGCACAGGTATCTCCATTAGGTTTTTTATTTGTCACTCAGTCTGAAGATGATGTTCATGATGACAAGACCATACTCTGTGCATTTGCTCAGCGAAGGATACTGTTGGGAGCTGGCTTTCCCTACTCCTTCCTTCCCAATGGTACCACTCTAGAGTTCTAAGTCACTTCTGACTCTGGCATTGAAGTCACCAAGGCAAATTATCTTGTCTTCCTTGTGAGTGTTAGTATGTGATCAAGGTTGGAGTAGAACTGTTCTTTGACATGCATCAAGCATTGGGGCATATGCACTGATGGTGGTGGTGTACTGGTTGTTGCTGAGCTTGAGACAGAGGGTCACAAGATATTTGTTAATGTCCACAGGGAGCTCCATAAGTTGACTGACAAGCTGCTTCTTGATGGTGAATCCAATGCTGTGAATATCTGGCCTGGGCTAGTTTACTCTTCCAAAAGAAGGCATAGCTTCTACTCTCTTCCCTCAGAAGACTCTCATCTGGTTGTCTTGCCTCACTCAGAGCTGCAATGTCAATGTTGCATCTTTCTAGCTCCCTGGAGACAATGGAATTTTTCTTTCTGGTCATTCATTGTCTTTATTATTAATCAAGGTTATCCATCAAAGAATGTTCCATGTTGCAAATACTATTGTCATTTTATGGTATTTTTGACCACAGAGTGATCCCATTGTATGTGGTAATCCAGCCTGGAGGAGATAAAACAGTTTAGGTTCAGGGCACCTTTTCTAGCCCCTTTACTCTGTTGGGCAAGGAGAGGGTAACTTGAATAGGACTGCTCAGTCATGGTACCATCTGCCAAATTTCACCCCATGAGAAACCCCATGAGAAACCCTTTGTCTCACCATAATTTAAGTAGGTCCCTATTTATTCCTCACTGGAATCATACTGGAGGTCAGATGATGTTAGCAAAGATTGTATACCTCATTTTTCTTCATTTACTCCAGGTTCATGTCTGTAGAAGAATCTTAGTTCTGAATTCCATGCCTTCCTAATCTGTTGGAGCTGGGAAAGTTTTAGACACTGTCTATGGTTTTGGGTTTCTGAGCATGCATTCAAGGGACAGGGCTTGTCTGACACTTCTATTATTGGTAGTTAGGATCCTCTGATGCAAACAGTGAGACCTTAAAAATAGTGCCATTTCTCCCAAACATCCCTAGCAGTTTACTCAGATTCCCTCCACATGGTAACGGGTTCCCTCTTCAGGGACACATAGTCCACATAGTATACAATACAAACACAGATGGTCTTTTCACACAGTTTCTAAGCACACAATGTAAAAGAGTACATAGATCAAGGTGATAACAACAACCATCATCATAATCATAAATCCTACATGCATTTCCTTGCCTCATCTTCCTTATTACTTCACAGTATTCCTTGGGTTGGAAGTAGTATCTTTCTGGATTGTAAAAAATCTTTCTGCAGATCATGGCTGAACAGCATAATCTATCTCCTTCAGGGTTCACTTGATTTGCCACTGATATGTCCAACAGCTAAACACACACCTATTTGTGTTTCTCTGTTCTGCTGCAGGCTATCCCTGGGTAGTACCCTAGTAATAGTGTGTCTGTTCTACCAATGTCCAAGACCTCCCTTTGTGGTGTGTGTCATTGAAAAATTTGTTCCCCTGCCCTGCTTTGTAGGCACTCAAATTTATACTTCCCAGCACTAACACCTGACCCCTTTTTTTGATGTTGGGGATTTTCCTTGGTTCTAAACACTCTTCTTGTGCATAACCTAGTTTTAATGTTCAAAGATAAAAAGTTAAGGTTAACTACTCTCCATTGTGCCAGAGTTGGTGGATACAAGTTAGAGGCCTTGTCAGCAAATGATAGTTTTCACATGCACAGAGAGGTAGTAAAAATACAGCAATTTCATCACAAGAATTTCATAACATCAGCCAGAATTCATAAATTGTGTCTATGTATAGTCCTCAAATCATCACACAATCCTATAGAATTTAAAGAGGATTGTTCATTCACAGGATTCTGTAGAGGTTCTACAACATTTAATATCAGATAGTAGATTTTTTTTTTAAACCCTTTTGAAAGAGATTAGTTTTAGTCTTGTTAAATTCCAAAGGACCTTGTCATCTGGGATTCCAAACATGTATAATAATAACACAAATGCAAAAGTAATTTTCACAGTGCAGGGTCCCTGGGGATGGCTGTAGTACCCCTAGGGCTCCATAACCGTGCTAGCTCCACCCTGAGAGTGCCTTCTAATCTCACCTTTCACGTCTTGTTGGAAAAATATACTAAGTAGGCTGCCAACAAGTTTATGTGCAGCCACAGTCCTGTTGAACCTTACTAGACTCT